AGGGACAAAAGTATAATAATTGGTGTGGAAGTGCTGAACAATTGGAATTGATATTTCATTAAAACCATTTGGAATGTCTTAATATTGTAGCCGATGTGAACTGAAACCAGTTACGTATAATGACAATAGAACGATAATATAAAAGATATGAGATCGACTACACGTCAATATCCATAGCATAATTTTTGGTCTTTGTTCTGATCGATATTTCCAATCGTTCACAATGCACAGTTATGGTGGATTTCGGTAAGACATAAATTTCATTTATAGATGTAACTCGAAACATTTGAAGCACCCCAATCATGTTTAAAAGAAGTAGAAACAGTAGAAAACAGTAGAAAACATTGCCCTCATATTAATGCATGTAAGGCAATTCGGCCTTGTTTCAGATGTTAGCTCACCAGATCTTATTAAGACACATGATAAGCATGTTGTCCAAAGGCAACTCGTTATAAACATTATGAGTTGTGTGAGGGTGTTGACGAACACAGTCGCAGAGGAGATGTGAAATCTATCTGAAACTAGTAAGATAAAGACATTCTATGGACTTAAAGATTTGTGGTCGTGCAAATATCTCAATCATAGATCCTATGAAGTTATCTTCATCTGAGGGCATAATGAACTTACTCCACCTAACTCCGCATACTTGATAGCTTACATGAATAGTCCACCATTGAATCTTTTCATGGTGCAGATTTAATGTATCGAAAGCTATTAAGGTTAATTATCAGAAGGCCTATAAAAAATTATTTGGAAAGGATTGCACAATGACCTTAATTATAAATCAATATTATAAGTACAATACCTGACCTAACCACTTTTGCACTTAAGTATGTCGCACTCGTATAAGTTGTTGCACTCGTAATAGTAGTCATAAACTAATGTCTATGGTGATACCCCCCCTTAAGATTGGGAAATGCATTTGTGATAATCAGACTTTTAATGCATCTATTTTCCTGCAATTTAGTACTCTATAATATCAGTCGAGAACCCATTTATTTTTTTTTAATGAGAGTGCAGGAAGGTTAAGTTTATGTGTAAATGGAAACAATTTGTTTCCGTATTCGGGAAGTGGAAAGTGTAACAATAAGTTAGATAAGACTTGGCTACCCAGTGAACAATAAATCCAAATAACCAAACCAGTGTATACTGTGGACCATGAAGATAACGCATGTAATAATATCCATAATTATACCACGTGTAAATTAGATGGAATCTAACAAAACAGGTTCTGACAAGCAGATATCAACACTATCTTGTTCTGCGATATTTAACTAATTGATCAACCGATGTTAATATATGAGAGTCGAGGGGAGATTTAACCAATTGTTGATCAAACTATGTCAATAGGTGAGAAAATCAAGAGAATATTTGACCATCTGTTATCTGTTAATATGTGAGAGTCGAAGGAATATTTGATCAATTGTTGATCTATTGATGTTAATGTGTGAGAGCCGAAGTAACCTTAAACGAAAATAATTAACAACTGTTAATCTACCGGCGTCAATATGTGAGAGTCGAGGGTAGATTTAAGCAGTTGTTGATCTACCGATGTTAATATGTGACAGTTGAGGGAAATTTGACTAATTGTTGATCATTTGAAGTTAAGGAGTGAGAGTTGAAGGAATAATTAGCAAGTTGTTGATCAAGCAATGTTTATGATTGAGAGTCGAAAGAATATGTAACCATTAGTTGATCTTCCGGTGTAAAAATATGAGAGTTAGAGGGAGGGTTTCCAATTGTTGATATACTGATGTTAATGTGTGAGAGTCGAGGGAATATAAAACCAATTGTTGATCTACTGGTGTTAAAATATGAGAGTCGAGGGAATACTAGAAAATAAAATATATTCAGAAGATTATCAAAACTGGCAGAAAATTTTATCAAGGAATATAGATGGTGATGAAGAATTTCATGGTGGAACAATTACTGAATTGATTATTTATATATAACACACTAACTTTATCTATCTCAACTCTGCTGAAACAGTCCAGCCTTCTTAAAATTACCTTAGACACAAGTAGTCTGTAATTCAAGGAGTAAGTGTCGACGTATATAGAACATTTGTTTTATTTTGGGAGGAGATATAGATTGCCATTTGTCGATAAATCTTAGGCTATAACTTCTGTATCTTACAATTCATTGTAGCAATTAATGTATGTGGAAAACCAATGAAAGGAAAGTAGTCATATGTATAAAATTGGAACAACTTTTTATATACAAAAACGTGATATTTTACTAAAACCGTTTACAGTGTCAATACTAAGTGGTCACATCTGTGAACGATTTTTTAATCATTATCAAACTCAGTGGGTGAATAAAGTAACTATTAAAGAGAGTAAGCAACATAACGACATACTTATGTTGTTTGATTGCAGAATTTCAGGCTACAGTTATTTGCCAAGGACTTGTGACTTTGGAAACTTTAGCGTTAAAAGACTGGAGAGTGTGGAATATGTCACAAGAACACTACTTATGTATAAAGAATGTGAATCGATGAGAAGAGAGTGAAAATGGCCGTTTTGTGTTTGAAAATCTCAAGATGTCATTAAATCGTTATTTATTGACACGGACGAATTTTGATTTGGGATATATTAATGAGTATACTGGTGTTGAAAACGGCTGTTATTTGCGTACTTATTTGATATAAGAGCGTAAAGAAATTTTAATAGGATCTTACGGCAAATCTGATTTTATCTCCACGATGTAGATTTATTTTATATTCATTCTTAGTGTTCGGTGGAATTTGTTTCAAGCTATTTAATTGATCATCATATCTTGAAGATTCATATTTCAGTTCTATGGTTGAATACGTTTCTGAAGTTAACGAAGTGTTTACACAGATAATGAAGACGATGTCTGTGGCTCGAAATAAAATTGAACCTCGAGGTACTAGTAGCGAACTAATGAAAAATATTATTACTTATATTCGAGAATAGCAGGACATTTATGTCGATAAAAAAAAATCTTGGAAATTTCACGTTTTCTGAATTGATTTTATAAGAAGATATTGGAACGTGTTTGTTTTTAGGGTGTTGAAGTATGGATGAAATATTCAGTATTACACAGTAGTTAGTGTTGGGATCAATGAGTCCGCCATTGCAACACAAAACTTAATTAAATATTAATCATATTTTCAATTAAATCAACTGGTGCATACGAAAACGATTTTAAGAAATATCATTAGGTGATTATTTTCTATTTAGGCGTGATAAGGATGTTATATTCTTGATAATGGCATTTTAACAATATTATATATATATAGCAATTTGGATTTGTGAAGGTTATGTTGAAATCACAAGCCCAGTTCAGGTGATATCAGGTATTCAGCAAAGCTGAGCGGTGACAGTCGACATAGTGATAATTAAGCAGCTTAAAAAAATCACCTGTCGATGACAGTGTAAATTTTTGAAACGTTGTGTACAATAAAACTTAGGGGTAGTAGACCAAAACATTGTGTTTCGTTAACAAAAAGTTGAAGTTCGTTATTCTAAAAACACAAAAAGTGTTGGTATTCGCAAGCTTTAAGAACAGTTTGAACGGCTTTATATTAATAGTTCCAAGGCCAATTGCGTTCCACTATATCTGAAAGGAAATAACAGTCAGGTGACAAATGGAAATGTCACACACCTGAAATAGAATGATAAATGGAGAATTCGTTTCAGTATTTCCAACAACACTTCAAGCGATCGTATTGTGTCCGTGACTACGAACGCTCTGGGCTTATTTCCAGGGACTAATCCATTGTTGTATCGTTTGAAGATGAACGAGTCTTTTTTGGTCTACTGTGAAATATTAATATTCGCGGGATGTCGATTTTCAAACGTAATTATAAGTTAACGGACAAAGAGTGTATAGAATAAATTTCAGTGCGACACATATTTTAAGGGTGTCTACGACACCTCAAGGCAAGTAACTAAAATAACGTTCTTAAGATTTTAATGGTTTCGCATCGGATAACAATATAATGGATCTGTTATCACATGAGTTTCTTCATTGTTGTAAAAAGTGTTATAAGACAAATCAGTAGAACATCATTTTCTGATGTTCCATATTCTAATTGATTAGGTTATTGATACAGCTGCGGCAGATACTATCTATGTTTCGAATCAAAGATCTATGTCTAATACTCATCATTGATATCACAAAGGATGTATTGGAAGTATACTAATAATGAGATTGTGGAGAATATTTAACCTTACTTATGATTCCCAACTTCTTTCGTCTTATTACGATGTTATGGTTTTGTTTACCAGTGTTTATACATAATAAACTTATATACTAAATCAAATTTCTCCGAGAGCAATCGATACTAACCTGGTTAACTTACTTTCATAATATAACATCTACTGCACATTAAGTGCAGGTCGTGAAGAGATAGATCAACTTCTCCCAATCCAAGACCGGTTGATGAATGGAAGGAATTTTCAGCTGCAATCGATAACTTAATATGCCTAAATAGTTTTAAAAACAAACAAAGTGAATTAAAAAAAAAACTAGTTTACCGAGTTTTTAAAAATAAAGTTAATTCCATCAGATTTAAAAATTGGAAGTGCATTTCTGTCGCGGTACAGATGTCAACAGAGAATTCATTGAAAGTAAATATCTTACGTTGAAATGATTGTGTCATCTAAGTGGATTGTTTGTCGATCAGATTTATAAATTGAAACTGCATTTTTGTCGTGGAAAAGATGTCGAAGTTGAAATGATTGTGTCATGTAAGTGGATTGTTTTCTTGACAGAATTAAATCAAAAAAATATTGACGGCATCAACACGGTTTCCTGTAACAACAAGGTTAACGCGACAACGTAAGCTACCATTGATTTATAATCATTTCAGATATCTGCCATCTATCTCATCTTAGGATTTAATAGGATAAAGTTTTTGAGTCAGACGCAACACCAAACGTCAATAGACTAGTTTTTAAACAGGATTATAGGATGGTACGATGTTTCCTGACAATAATGTTTCTTCTGAATTTATAGCCACACACGTTATCATGTTGGACGAACAATCAACTTGTCAGCATGGCTTTCAGGAACCGAATTATTCATCCATTGCCAAAGCAGTTGCTATTGCCTTAATTAGTTTGTGCATCATAATTGGAAATGTTTTGTGTCTGTGTGTGCTTAACTGTCCCAGAAGTAGGGGTTATTTTATGGAGACGTCTCGGATGCTGATGACGTCATTAGCCTGTACAGACTGTAGCATGGGGATTCTTGTTACGTCGTTGTGCATATACCCAGCCTTATATACATGTTGGCCATTTGGACAATTCTTGTGTAAAATTCAAGCTGTGTTGCTGTCTAGCTTGTTCCACGAGTCAACATTATCTTTGACGCTCATAGCCGTAGATAGATACGTCTCAATTACGTTTCCATTGCGGTATCCGTCAGTAATTAAAAGATCTACCGTAACGTTGGCTATTGTTTGCACATGGCTGGGATGTTTCGTTGTGTACTTTATTGTGGTATTCGTTTACGACCAGTATTACTATGACGTAGTCGGAGTTAATTGCGAACCATTATACGAAAACAGCCATATGACGTTAACTGTTTTGTTCCTGTTTTATTTAGTGCCCGGTATAGTCATGATATTTTGTTATACCAGAGTGTTTCATATAGCTTTATATCAAAGGAGTAGACAAAGACAAAATTCGGTTTGTCAGGTAAGTTTATTTTAAAAATTTCTAAAAGGGATATAATATGTTTTACCAGTTGATACAGCTCATCCATAACCTTTTTAAAAATAAAAAATTATGTTTTTCTCTATAAAACGTGGAAGTTCAGACTATTGACACTGTTTGATATATTTTCAAATTATCACGAGCAGTTATGGGCATAAACGATCTTTGACCTTGAATTTCGAAACGGTGAACCGGGCGTTAGATATTAGTTCTATGGATTTTAAAAATGTAGAATAATCAGCCATTTATCGAAAAGAACTTAGTTCCCATTCCCTTATTCGACGTACTACATATATTTAGTAGAACTAAATTTAGGAGCTGGCTGTCCTGGGGAGGAATTTGTATCCGAAATACATGTCGTGAGATTAGCGACTATGCATCTTTAAATCTTATAAAAAACTATTTGTCTATTTCTGATGCAGCAACAGCTGGTCTACATTGTCCGTCTCGCCCCATAAAAATGTCAGGTTGTCTATATTAAATACATCTAAAATAGATTTACAAATGAATGGGATCTATTTCTATATTAGACGCATGAAAGAGTGCTTTATATTCAAATGAAAGGGTTTGAGTGATCTCAGTGTTGACATAAAACTGGATTTCTAAATTTCTAATTGTTCTATTATATCAAATATCTATTTATTTTAAATTCATATATTTTCAGAATAGAAGAGGTCGCTCACAGAATTTGTTACATTTTAGAGCAACGAAAACTCTTGGATTGATAACCGTGGGTTTCTTTGTAGCTGTAACACCATGGACTGTCGGACAACTTCTTGCTTCTTTAGCTAAAATCATCATTCCAGATAATTTGGACTTTGCGTTAACATGGCTAGCCATTAGTAATAGTGCCTGGAACGTTTTGATATACGCAGTTACCAACGCATCATTTCGTAGAGCAACAAGACTTCTGCTGTGTCATAATTCGAGATCTCATCATCGCGATCGCGTAAAGCTTCAATATCCGCCTAAAAGTAGCATCACCTGATCTTACAGTTGAGATTTCAATGGTGACAAGCGTCGAAAGATTCTATTTCGTAGAGTCTGAACCAAAACTGTTTCATTCAAGTGTATTGACAGCCAATTTCGTGACAAAAAGGCATAAAGTGGTACTAAATCTCTCCTTGGTTTCCGGTGTAGAAAAGAAACCATGTGATAACCGTCAAAAACTTCACCTACTGACGTATCTACTCTCAATGATTTACTGTTTGGCAACCACCGTACGGTTTATCACATGAATGCCTTGATATATCAGATTGCGTTCCGGAATGTGATGAGTGACGTTTGGCATTGTTATCAGTCTTCGTTATATCATAAATATTTCAGATCTAGAAGATGTTAACATTTTTCGAAATACAAAACCTAACCAACCAATCAACCCACATATATCAGCAAATAAATTATTTAAAGACGAACCTTAAACTGGAAAATATCTGTTGAATGACTTAACACTTGAAGATCACAATACACAAGACTCTTTAGGCCATCGTGTGTGCATTGTCAATTACTTCTTTCATTTAGTCATGTTATATGTTTGCAAATCTCTTTGGGCCTAGGAGGCGGTGGGTGACAATAACCCAAACTATTTCCAGAAACTGGAACTAGTCAATTCACGACAAAGATGTTCGATATTGTTTTGATCATAATTTACATAGTGCATAGTAAAAATTATATCATTTTTCAGTGGTATTGAGATTGAATTACGAATACCCCCTTTGATAACGAAATGTGTTAATTTTTGCATTACAAGGTGAATTTGAAATCAAAGTATTCTCAAAAGACTTCATCAATTAATTCAAGTGTGTTTCACGAGGTAATCATGTGTATTTGAAACTAAATGCCAAGCCTAAGATTATTTGGTAGTAAATAATATATAAAAGCATCCCAGAATTTTGAATAAGCCTTATATACTGAAGGTTATGCCTAAATGCCTTCGTCGCATTCTTTACTAAGATGTCGTTATCTGCTGAATTGATTTCAATATTTTTGTGATTACCGTCATAACCTGGAATTGATGGTTAACGATTAACTTAAATTTGATTGTTGCATGTCTGAAAACAATTTACTTATATTATTACTTAAGCACGCTTTGAAAGCCATGTCAAAGAAGTGGTAAGTTCAGTATTTGGTGTAACAAACAGTATCCGGTGATAAATATTGTGATATTTTGTCAGGTTAATAAATGTATAACAATCTAGTCGTTTTCTTTACTCTTCATTATTCTACCTTCCTTGCATATGGATATGACGTACGGAGTTATTCCTTGCCATAAGGACCATAAGAAAAAAAAACTGGTCCCTGGCATTGATCTTTACCGGATTATCCGTACCAATATACAACTGGGCCGACTGGACTCTGTTTGTTTTTTAAAGGGAAGATGATTAAGGTCTTTTCACAAGCACCGAGATTAGATCTTACAGCGAACATTAGTTCAACGTAAACCATGATGACGTGTAAACAACTCTGAGCTCTGTGTATCCCCTTACCTAAAAACTTTAGAAATACCAATTATCCATACTGAACACCTACTCAGGTGCACATATATTTCTATCGACTACGAGATGTTACATTGAGGTTTTTCATCAATAACATTTGAAAATTTGAAAAAACTGTGTACAGCTGTATTGATTTTAGGTATATATGATTATTTACAGAACCCTTCTATATCACCTTACAAGAAAATTTTGGGAAGTAACCATCTTACACAAACACCTACAGATATTTCTTATCGTCTACGCAATGTTGTATTGAAATATTTCGTTAATACTATTTCACAATTTGAAGTTATTGGGTACAACTGTATTGAATGTATGTGTATATGATCAATTGCATATTACCCAACAATATTATAATCTTCTTTCGTCAGAATATCATCGATATTCATTTCTGAAAAAGTAATATCAATTGTATTCCGCGTCATACCTGTCAACTGATATGATAGATTTCATAGTTTTTACTTAAAACATGGAATACAACACGACATATTCAATCATATGGAAGACCTGTGATATGACTGAATTTCTTTACTACGTTTATCAGATCTGTCGTCATATCAATGTATGACTTGTCGTCTTTATATATTTCTTTTGGGAAGAGATGAGTATACAAACGAGAACCTGTGTGCTACAATCTTCACCATTTAAGTTCTTTCGAAATCCAAAACTAGTTAAAATGTCATCGTACTGCATACAGGTTCCTCATTGCGTAGTGTTGTCCATCTTCGTCGAATATGCAGAAAAAGTTAAAAATTATGTAATGCATTTGTTAATTTTGAAAACGTATGGGTATATTTCAATTGACTTCTGTTTGGACAATCAGTGCTTATCCTATTAACTCACTGTGATTATACATTGAATGTTACTAATCAGATGTCTGATTTTCGACAGACAATTATGACCGCAAAAAAGAATATGACGTCATCAGTACTAGAAAAATGGTGACTGCCTAATTCCTCTTGGGAAACAGGTGAAGTCTGAGGTGTCAAATTGCAATACAAAAATAATGGGCATAAATTTCACGGGACGCCATGAAACTAACACGTTGCTGATCGGCTGTCAAGAGCTTTGCCACCCATCAGATGGAAAGGTTTATAAATTCGTCTGGTACAAAAACAATATTAACACGGCAGTCGAAGTTATGTCTATGATTCATAAAATGAGTAGATGTTGGTGGTAAAGTTAGTTTCAATCCGATTTAGATATCTGACTAGACTAAGAACCTAGCCAACCCTTGTCCGAAGAAACTGTTTTTTTTTTTAAAGTTAATTTATCAGAGGTTCTTGTTTGAATAACAGTAAATCCAAATCAGAATCAGTCGTCGTAAGTATTTCAGAAGCATCTGACAGTATTTTGACACACACATTTAATGGAAAAATCCCTGATTTTTTTCATTCGTGTCTTTACTGATGGGAGACAACTCTCTAATATCTCTTTGCATTCGAGTCTACTTGAAAGATCCAATGAAATGAACTTCTCAAACTATTGTTTTATTTTCCAGAAGGTAATGTTTCAATTGTTGATGGAATCGACCCTGCAGCAACCCAAGGTTAACGAGACACCCCTACTCCTAATATAGTGATTCATGGAATTCAAACCCGAGAATGATATGACCCAATTTTACGTCAACTGCTATCATCTCCCTGTTTATTACGAGACCAGCGTAGCTCAGTTAAATTGGAAGGATAGACTGCCTCCCGAATTTCATTAAATATTTTGCTACTTGTACGAAATATATGCCCAAATGTATTCCCTTCTAAGCCCAAATAGTAATATTAAACTCAAAGCTGCATCATCATTTCTTTGCTGGAAGTGTGACATTCCAGATAATCGAAATGTGAATGAAGGGAAGCAACTTGGTCTGAAATACTCTAAACCGGTCCAAGGAATTCAATTTGTATCACGCAGTGATAAAAGTAACATATAATTATATTCGATTAGTGGTTACTGTAAGTTACTGGATACCGTTATCTGATTAATCGATAGATCTAATTGATCTGGGCCTATCGGTTGCTCATGTTCTCCTACTAAACTATTCCATTTAATGTAGTTTGCGTTCAACTACTTTGTTGATATGGACATCACTGAGACGATATCCTGAGAATCCTTAGAAGACCCGATCCCCCTTTCAAACAAAGGAACACACAAACAACGATTTTTTTTTATAAGGGTAACAACCCATGTTCACGAGGATGCTTTCTACCAGCTGGTCCTTGGCCAAATATCTTCGTAGTGTTCTTTCTCGAAAAGACTGAAGCACATAAAACAGAATTCCAAGTATCGCCAGGAAATATTTGCTCTCCTTTTCAGCACGCACAAACCCTACATAATTGATTGAAAACAGATCTTGTTGTCACTCAAGTCTGAGACCAACAAAAAATCTTTATCAAATTAATAAAATAACATAGCCCTACTAACTGTCTAATAAAATCCAGTCAACAGCTACCGTAGTTAAATATTGACATGAAAGTTTGTCATTAGCTTAGGAAATCCACATGAAGTAATCAGAAAATATCCTCCTTAAATCATTCTACTGTTTAATTAATTCCTCTTGATTAAATATCAAGGGATTCATGAAGATCATACCGTATACTGACTAATCGTCTGCTTGGAACAGAAAAGTAAATATCACTGCGGCTACCAATCGGACTGTTTTCGAGCGAAAAGATAATTATCGTAGTCCACCCAGTTATAGAGGGAATATCGTCCTAAAATTAGAATCTCTATGTCTATATTGAAGTTAAATCATTTAATTTATTGGTTGGTAAAGATCATTTGTGCTATGTCAGGGCTCCGGAATATTCTACAAAATAAACTTCATACCCACTTTATATTGAAAATCAGAATCAAGTTCATTTGGATGACAGAGAAATGATTGAAAGGGAATCCAAACCTGTCCTTTAACCATAGCAGAAAAACTCTGTAACATGGAATTAATTTCATCCCACGTTGCGGTTCTAATGTATTGCTGACAAATCAAATAATAAGTTTCATGTACATGTCTCAGGATTCTCGACTAGAACTTCTTGCAATGTGTTATATACAATGTATTGCTGCACGATGATATTCTTAGATTTGAAGCAACACCAATGATCTTGGCCAACTAATACATTACCATCCAATTCCAAACGAACAACGATATATTTAGTTTCAGGAAAATCCTTGCTACCAACTGGTCCTATACACGTATTGCTACACGATGATATTCTTTGATTTGAAGCAACACAAATGAACTTTGCCAACTAATACATTACCATCCAATTCCATACGAACAACGATATATTTAGTTTCAGGAAAATCCTTGCTACCAACTGGTCCTATACATGTATTGCTACACGATGATATTCTATGATTTGAAGTAACACAAATGATCTTGGGCCTTCTTATACATATGCACCCAATTCTAACAGCCGTAAAATAAAACGAACAACGATATATTTAGTTTCAGGAAAATCCTTGCTACCAACTGGTCCTATACACGTATTGCTGTAGG